ATGCCAAGTGATATGTCAGCACGACTCTAAACGCAGCCCTTACATTCGCCACCGAGTGGCCGGGCGGGCGACGCCACCGTCGCCCGCACATAGTTGTGTTCTTCTCATCCCATATTTTTGTATGTGTGTCGTCCGCCGGCGCCGCCGCGCGGGCGTCGGGCGCGTTTTTATGTAGTCGCGCGGCCGTGGCGCCCGCCTAGTCCCGACCCGCGTCGCCGGGTTAGTCGGCTGACAAAAGACACCGGGCGGCGACCGGCGTCCGCCACGCGCGGGCCGGTAACGCGGCCTGCCGTTGGCGGTGCCCCCGTCGCCGCTGCCGGGTCCGCTACCCTTGTTGGTTCGTGTTGTCTGTTCTCCTCTCACGTTGTTATTATCGAGAGGTTTCTGATTGTTGCCTTACCGTTTCCCGAGGGGCGTCGGCAGTCGGATCCGCCCGCCCCTGCCCCCTGCCCTTGCCCCTGCCCCTGCCCCTGCCCTTGCCCTTGCCCCTGCCCTTGCCCTCGCCCCTCCCCGCCCCCGCCGATGCCGGCGCCCAGCCAATGATCTCCACAGCACGGGGGCGCTTCCGGTCACGAGGACCGCCCCCCCCCCCCCCCACTCCGGCGCTCTGTCGTGTTCCCCCTCCCCGTGCACCAGTGAGGCGTCCACTCATTTTGATATACTTGTACCGCGTAGGGCAGCGCGGTCGCACCGACTGTGCATAGGTGTGCGAACTCGGCGCGGTGCCGACCGCGGCGCCACCCGTTCTATGTTACAGTCTATCTCGACCCATGTTGCAATGTCCCCGGGCACGTGTTGATCGTGTATATCTGTAAGATAATTTACGAACCGTGTGATCAGTACAGAAGCTGTAAGCTTATCTACAAAATAAACTCTCGCTCGGATGGTGTGCAGTTTTCTCGCTTGTTGAGTGAGTTTTGTTCCTCCGAGAGTCGGGTTTCGTAACAAGAACCAATGACCTGTGCGTCTCTATATGGTAATGTTTTGCCATACATGTAAAGTGTTAACAGTTTCATTGAAAGTTATATTCATTTGTGACTTACGAACCGATGTGTTAAGAAGGGTATTGTATGAAACTATGTCCTGGCTTTCTTGTCCGTTTCTTAGGAGAGCAGATGACTTGAGGTACATTTTTAAGTGTAAACTGTTAACGGCGGAGCCTAATGTCATTTGGTAAGTGTTGAACGATGTGTGGCTAGCCAAAGAGGAATGACCGGGTTTTCCAAAATCAACTAGGTTACATGGGCGGGAAGCGAGCCAAGGCCCGCTAAAATTTGTTTACGAAATGGAAATGCTGACCTGTGAGGAAGGAATTTTCTTTGAGCCTAAAACCTCTCTTGCATGATGAGACTTCGATTAAACTAGCAAAAGTTCTCTCAATTTCCTTAGCCTGGGCTGTCACAAATAGCACATGGAAAAAATACACACACGACGCATAAACTAAATCTTCTTTGTGATGTCATTCTGTCAGAAGTCATTTCCCACGTTTAGATGATGTAGCTATCTTTGGACACAAGTTGCGATGACCTCTTCGATGGAAAATGCATATTTTCGGAATGGCTTTAGTCAGATCCGTTTTTCGCCGAAGAAGACGCCAAAGGATTGTCGAAATGTACGGAATTCTTCGTCACGTGAAAAAGAAGAGAACGAAATATTGGACCGGGGGTGACGAAACTCTGCACGTAGTGAATGCCACTGAATCGCATTACAGGGCTGGTGAAATAGACGAGAAGAAAACCTTTGAGTTGGAGACCTTTGTTGTGTTTTCAAGAGACCTTTGTTGTGTTTTCAAAATATTGCATGTTTCGGTCTCCCAAGGCGTTCGTTTTTGAACAGCATAGCCGTACAGTTGCGGGATGAAATTATGTTTCAGAGCGAAGACTGCATGCTATAGTCCATTGAAAGTAAATACTGCTGTTTCATTGCGTTTAGCGGGTTAATGATAGAGCTTTCGGCGAAAATGACTTTATCACAACGTAATTTTACAGGTCATTTAACCTTCGGCTTTACCTCTAGTGCCGAACTGCCATTTCTAGCGATGTTGATAGAATGAATGTTGGTGGGTACCTTTTATATAACAGAATGGATGTTGGTTGGTTTCTTCTGACTTCCACTGTCGGTAGCGGTCAAATCTGTGTTCCTCTTCTTTTTTCCTTTCAACCTCACGTACCATTCGAACGCATGAATGTATTCAATTGTCAATAGTACGTGAAAGACCGCATTTGGCGGACCGGACATGGATCCATCACAAAAGTCGATCCATACGTTTGCGTCCACGCCGAGCAAGTGGGCAAGCCGAGCATGAATCGTTCCAAGGTCATTAGCTGCGGAAACTAAGTGTCCTGTGCTCTGAAACCCTTGGTGGGGGCTGGAACGACTTTAAGCCATCGGGATTTTTCTCACCTATACCTGTAGTTTTGTCCTTATGTATTAGCGGCCGAGCTTTGTGAACCGGATGGGACGGACGGGTGGAGCGTGTTCCCTGATGTTCAACGTTCAACTTTCCCACACCCAAACGCACTCATTTTTCATAAAGATGTAGTAACGGCTGGCTCGTTTAATTATTAGATTTTTAACAACTCTAGCATTGCGTCACAAGCACAAAGAATACTTAAATGGATTAAATTAATGAAATATGGATTCGCGCCATTTTGGCGTGTGGATCCGCTAGGGTGACCACCAACCAGTTCATCGCCATTAGGAATATACCTATACCTGAATCTCAATGACATATCCCGAATCCCTCAGAAACTTGCGATGACTCTAGTTTCCTTTGGCGTTACGATTTAATAGCAATTCCATCTTGCTGAATTGTTGTTGAAACACCTCACATCCAACAGGAGGCAATGATGCACTTGTATAACAAACACATCCAACTGCAGCGCATTTTCTGACAACGCATTCTAATATCTAGCTTATTTTGATATCCAAGTACCATTGGCTAGGAATTAGGACTCACTCAGGGACAAGGGGTCCTGCCCTTGATGAAAGCGAGCGAATTACCGAGTCATAGCGTTATGAGAGGTAGCAATGTGCGGGACGAGGTTGCCAAAAGTGACTCACATTAAATGGTACTTTGCTTATTATTACCGCCGGACATTTCTGTCTCTCTCAGACTCGCGGACAGACATTTGCATCTGTATGACTACATGTATCTTGGAGATCTTTCGCCTACCGTGGAGGCCAGAATTTGCTCAGTGTACTTCATGTCCTATTACTTCTGCACACCATTTTGCACGATAGCGAACATATGTGACAGACAAGATGTCTCTCCACAAAATGGGGTTCAAATTTAGCATCAGGTAGGTATCGTTCAGAATTCAGATAGGTGGCCACAGCAAGCGTTTTACTCGAGTTGCATTTCTTGCCTCGCTTCAAACCAGGATTTTGAATCAATTCCATCTTTATTGGGCAGCTCTTGCCACAGACGCCACCGGCGTCAGAGCGCAACGATCAAAACGCAAACATTTTTAATTGACCGTTGGGCTTTATCAACCCTTCTTCGCCTGGCGGTGCCCATGCACCCAGTTGTTACATCGCCGACATTGTGATCGCGGTGATCCGACATATTTTTGTTTTTCGTCACTGGCAAGAAGCCTGGCAAAGATTACCATGCGTTTATTGGCGCCCGCATTCGTGGTTGGATGGACGTAAAAGCCCCAGTGATTAGGGAGATTTTCTCTAAGTTTGCAGATGTTTGCATTCCGATTTCTACCGTAGTAAGCTTCTATTGCCTCCGGTTTTCACCATGGCGTGGCGACGCAATTGACTCCTGCAACTTCGTACTCTGGTAAGTAACGTGACTGTTTGCTATTAGTAGAGTCCTCCTCGATGATTGAAAAGTGAAATGCAAACGCGTTGTGTTGAATAGCGAAAAGAAGATTGTGATGTCATGACAGGCTAGTTAAATATACATTAAGTTCCCGCAGAAGTAGTTTGCGTGACGCAGATGTAAATGAAGTGTGATTCACCAGCGATACATGACAGGCTGAAAACTATTGGAGGAGTTCGATTAGTACATCTGAGGGGATACAATGTAAACAGCTCCTACCGTGTGAGTGCCATACAGAGCACAGGTTACAGGGATCACTTCAAGAGCCTCAAACACGGGATGCCTGCACTGTATTGCAGCGAGCAACAGCCATCATAGCAGGCTTAACCTGCTGTTTTCCGTTAACTTCTTTGTCCGTAACTTGCAGCATCAATGCTTTTCAATAGGTAGTCTCATCAATGGTAAACGAATGTGTTTCATGTGTAAAGGGATATTGTTATTCTGTAAACGAACGTGTTTTGGGGGCAAACAAATGTGCTGATGTGTGGTTCCTTGGGTGCGGATTACGCAACGGTGTTTTCAAAGGACTCAAACTGCCATTCCTGCCGATCTCGTGAAGCTCTCACACTTCATGACTGGGCGCTGACGTTCCACCAAGCGAACTCAGACGGCGCGAGCATGGCACGAGGTTGTAAACAGCGCGCGCTTCTGTCAGTCTTACCTTGACGTGTACCTTACGTTGCAGGTTCTCCTCAGACTGTATAGACGCCAGTGTCTGGCGGTAGAGTGGGATGGCGGGACAGGGGGAAGGGACAGATGCCGACTCCCCTGCCCCCCCCCCCCCCCCCCCCAGTGTTCCATGTAACGAGCGCGTGCCCCACCACTATTACTATGCCCCCGCACCGTTACTGTAGCTGGCTGACACTTGCACCGTCATTGCGCCCCTGCACCGCGATCGTGCCTGACTCCTGCACCGCTGTTGTGTGTCTTGTCACGTCAGGGCAGAGGCGTCCTGCGGGGCGCCCTGTGCGCCACGGGTCCCCGCCCAGCTTCTGCAGCACGCGCCCCGTCTCCAGCACCGTCTCCCGCACCACCTCCTGTCCGTCTTGACGTGTCTCCCGCCGCACTTCCCGCCGCGACTCCTGTCGTATTTCTGGCCGTATCTCTGCCGTTCCGACCGCCGCGCCTCCCTCCTGTACTGGCTCCTGACTGCAGCCGTTGTCGGCAGCGCGGTGCGAGACGCTGCAGCTGGAGCAGGAGCGACACCTGCGCACCATCGAGGAGCAGCGCCGCCTCGTGCAGAAGCTCGAGGACGACCTGGGCAGCATGAACTCCATGGCGATGATCTGTCGTGGCGAGGGCGAGGTGAGGCAGACTTGTGACGCGCTACTTCGGCGTCGCGGTACCAATAGATAGTTTTTAATCAGAACAGACCCTACTGAAGAGGGCCTAGGTTGAAAGCACTACCACACTGTACGTGTACGTGACAAGAAGTAATGGCCTGCACTAAATGCGTTTAAAGCTGGAACCAGCACGAATGCCATCGTAACACTGTCAGTCTTAAGCTGGTACCGGCACGTCTCGTCTGATGCCGATGCGTGGCCGACTCCAGAAGCTCTTTTTGCACCTCTCGCCAGTGGGATGGAAACGGGAACTTCGCCGCCGTGCAATGCTTCATCCGTGGGCGATAACGTGAACGGGAAAGCATAATAAGTCCAGCATCACCAAAGAGCAGTGTAGGCGCTAGACTGGCCTATGCTTCATCACAGGACCGAGTCAGAATAATGCGCGCAGCACCTGCCTACCCTGCCAAGGCAGCAAATCAAGTCTCCGCCAAATAGCGTGCCGTCCGATACACAAGCTACTTCGGATTACAACTTGCTATGATTCTGCAATTAAACGCACTGCCGTCGTTTTATGCAACGGATGGTGTGTGTCACATTTGTAGGCATGCATGTATTGAAGTTTAAAACAGTTTACAACATAAAATAACTACTCTGAGTGTCCAGTCGATAACATTAAGAGGAGAGACATGTTTGAAAGGACACTCGTAGCAACGACCACGTAGGAATAAATCAAAGACATGCTCACAAAAACTTACAAAACATACCACAGATGCACACATGCACACACACAGACATATGTATATAGTCATCAACTTCCAGGTAAAAGTTCAAAATACGCGAGTGACAAAGTGGCGCAAAGCGTTGTAGAGTTGTACGAGGCTATGCAGGAGGCGTGGCCTACCCGCCTCCGTTCTTGCGGGGCAGTATCCTGACGGGTAGAGCATGAGCGGAGAGAAGAGTTTTCCGGTATCTGAGAGGCAAGAGCTTTTGGTTCGCCGGTAACCCCTATTTTATATAGCAAGTTAATGGAGGTATGTTGGTAGAGCTAACCGGTAGTGGGCCAGCCCGGTTCCTCACGCACGTCCGAGACATGATCAAATTTGTGACGGTCGAAGACAACGCGCAGCGCGAAGCTCAATATCTTTTGAAGGCCTGGTGTGTTTTTCTCCGACCCGTTGCATAGACGGCAAGGCAATAGCGAACGCGCGGAAGGACCAAGGCATTGACCACGGCAGACGGTAAGTCAGGCGGGATCTTATGACATACGTGTGATAGCCCGATGAGGATACCGTTGCACTTTTTGACAAAGGAAGATACGTGAAAGTCCCAGGTGAGATGCTCGTCGAACACCACGCCAAGGTTCCTCACCGTTCGAGCCTCACGCACTGCGTTCTCGTGGAACCGAACTGCGTTAGGAGCCATGCCTCGACAATTATGACGCGAAGCACAAACTCAAAGTTTCATTTTACCATGTTCGCTTTCAAACCGTGGGAGTGAAACCAGATGTCCAGAGACTCAAGTGTCTGTGTCATTGTAGCAATGAGCTGCAGGAGGGAATCTGTTTTCCAGACATCAAAACCTCGGTGTCATCAGCATACTGCACCACGCACGCGTCGGGGCTGAGCGGGAATATGTCGTTGGCAAATATCTGGAAGAGGGGTAGGCCTACAGAGGATTCTTGGAATGCGTTGACAGGATTGGACAAGAGCTTGGAAAGGTATCGGTTGCCACGCCTGTCAGCAGTGCAAACAGGTTGGGTATGACCACGGGGGTAAGAAATGAACAAGGTAGCATTGATAGAGTACGCTTGCAGTTTGAGAACAATCTTTGCGTGGTCGGTCACATCAAAGCATTGAGAAAGACCCCGAAGGCAGAGAAGAATAAGTTCCTGGCGGTCAGTGGCGGTAAGGACATGGTCGGATACGGTAAGGAGCGCGGATTTCGTAGAGAGACGGGAGCGAAAACCGCGCTGGGCTGAGGAAGAAGGGTTATTTTCGGCCCTGTTGGAATGAAGCAGTCGCTGTACCACCCTCTCGACAAGCTTTGGAAAGGCAGGAACGATGGAAGTAGGTGTTAAGTTTGGCGATTCTGGTGGGCTTTCGGGCTTGCGGTGGGATGTGCTATGGAATGTTTTCAGCAGTCAGGATGTTCACAGGACGTGGGCAGGTGTCGTGGTGGATGACGTGGCCAATAGTTTCCACACGTATTTTGATTACCTTAATGCAAATACCGTCAGCCCTACAAGCCCTGGAATTTTCATAGACGAGAGGAAACGACGGATGCGGAGATGTATTGTTGTGACGTTGCGTTTTTTTTTTTTTTAGTTGCTTTCGATAGAACTAGCGTATTTTTTACTTGTAAGTGGACCTGATTTGAGTGTCACTACTGTTTGTTCGGGGAAGCTGCGCTCGTGAGTTCGAATCCCCCTTGCGTCATGGCCCCTGAGCGCTAACATGGCCGATGTGGTCGCTAGCCCTAGAAAAGGAGAGTGCCGACGTGCGTCGCGTTACCTTAAAACAAAAATGAAGAAAGTTGTTATCCGTTTCGATCGCCGGTAGCTTTGAAGGGACCATGTTTTGTGCTTATTTAAGTGAAGTAAACATATATTAGGTAATCGAGCATTGCGATTATGCCCTTGCTCCTACGGGGAGCCATGACAGTTTATACGCTGTCATTTTGTCATCCGAATGGTTTCAAGGTCGTTCATGAGTGGCAAGTGCTTTGCGCTGAAAAAAGATCAAACATATTTTGCATCAATTAATGATAAATAGATAACCGTCATTTCTTGCGTAGAACCTACGCATCATTCGCATTACCGGCAATATGCTGATCTTATTGTGGAACTTTCATCACGCCATTTTCCTCACCAAAAAGCAGGATTGTGAATGTCATTCTGAAGAAGTGGAGAACCACGTTTTCCACCACTCAGTTTAAATAGTTTGTTCTTACTTAGATAGCTGTAGAATATCCTTACTCCTATTGCAGTCTGTAAGACGTATGAATGGTCTTAGTGCTATGCTGCGTAGCAATGGTTTCAATGGATCTGGCCAGTATATGTTAAAACTAAGGCCTGACCGGGTCTTACAAACTTATTCAAAGAAAGCGATAAAGTTCTACGGATTTGGATCTTTGACGACTGTGACCAATGTACTACGAATGACGTACACCATTCGGCGGATATGGGTCACGATGAGCGGGGCTAAACGTATGCGTGGTATTTAGGGCCTCCAGCGCCTTCGGCTCACATCACAGGCAGCTGCACTCGAGACGAGCTATGGTATGAGACGAATTTGGCAATGCCCGTTTTCCGGTCGATTACTAAAACACAGTGTCAGACCGTGATGAGATCGCCAACAGTTCGCAGCCGGCGCGTTTGTTCCCACCGTGCAGCTGGTTTTGCGACTCTGCTCGGGCTGCCGAGATCCGACAGTAATCAGTAAAAACGCCCCCAAAACGACAGGACCCATGGTCAGCGCCCGAGGACGCGAGACTGGCCGCGTGCGGCGACCTCACTTTCGTCGGCACTTTCGCCTGTCCGTTCTCTCCTCCGACTTGCGGCGTTGGTTTAGTGTCGCTACAACGCCGGGTCATCAAGATCTGGCCCGCTTTCAGCCCGTACGGCGCGGCGTTTTTGCAGTACCAATTCTTTCATTTCCTTTGCTAGTCAAGCGGATAAGAAAGCTTTGCTGAGATTGCAGCGTCGCGGGATAATCATGGCTGATCGGGCAGCCCGCTCGGGCTTGCCACAAAATTTCCTCGACGGAACTGTTAAGAACTGCGCCCACAAAGGCGTTTGAAGCTGTTGCCCGTGTGTGCAAGGATACGTATGAACGTTCAGAACGCGTCGTAGCCAGACTGCATCGGACCTTGAACTGAAACTTGTTCACTGTTGTATAAGAGTCTCTCGTGCTGCGATATCATTCTCAATCAAAGGTAGCCTCTCTGATTTATGGAACGTGGTTGATCGAACAATGTGTTTCAGCACAGGGCATTGGTCAACTGACGGCTCAAATTTGTAGTGCGCATGCACGATTCTCAACTTTCACCGCTCAGATTATATTGTGAACTATTTAAGATTTACGACTTAGAATTGCCTGGCTGCAACGCCGCTTGAAATAGTATGGTATTACGGTATAACATTAATTATTCGCAGCGTAATGAGATCCTGTGCTGAAACATGCAGTACAGATTTTGTTTGTTTCGAACGTACCGAAAAAGCTAGTGATGGATACCAGTAAGATTACATTGCATTATTGACATCAGGGGTGCTGTGTGTAACCATCATGTTATGCAGTGCGTCGACTGGCTGCCTATCTAGTCGTCATGACGCGTTGTTCGGTCACGATAAATATCTAAGAATGATTGCAAGAAAGGGCAGGTTACAAGACGGAGGACTGTAAAGTCATAATGCCAACTCCTTTTTGAGGGCTGCACATATATTTGCAATCAATTTTATTCAGTATACAGAGTGGATGGTGGATTTGTCTGCAAATGATTCTTTTTTGTCCTATCCGGGTTGCGATACCTACTGATTAGCAGAATTTCCTCTACCTTTTGAATAGTTTTATTTTGATGGGATGGCAAGTGTGCAATCCTGGGGAGGATATCACCATAGCACCTATTCAGTCTTACAACCTAGTCGTAGGACCCAGAGTGTTAGGTACCTGGTTATATTTTATCAGCCATCATTATTGTGTCCCTTTTGGTAAGTGCGCAGCCCCAGACTGTAGGTCATGCATCTTCCTGCGTTATTCGTGTGCTGAACGCGTCATACTTTTAAGTCGTATTGAACGCGTTATACTCTCTGACATCCGTCGCCGATGCCATAGGATATGCCTTTTCTCCCGTCTGCAGGTGTAGTCACGGTGGGCGTTCTTCTGAAGCGTAGGAGCCCAATGCACTTCGGTTGTATATTTGAAGGCTTACCGGGCAACTCACTGTTATCATCTCTGTAGACGATTGCATTAGTGGAGGTTTATCGCTTGTAACTGTCTTGCCAGAACGTTGAAGATGACTTCAATGGACAATTCGACATGACGTTTGACTCTCGCTGCGACGAGCACACCGTCTTAGATCCCGATTTGAGCACCATCGGCTGTGTATTACACGTCAGTTTTAATCATGACGTTGTTTTCTTGTTGACGAGCGTTCGACGCCCCCCCCCCCCCCCGCCCTAAAAACGAACTAGTGTGAGCAGACCATTAGGATGGCGCGGTAATCCCCTGAAGATAGTCTTTTCTGTTGTATGCAGCTGATGGTTGCAGCAAAGACATTCTAGAAAATGAACGGCATTACTTTACGCGCAGAAACCTGTGCCGCGAAGCCCTTACAGAGTGGTAAACCGCTCGTGGTTCCACTGTACGCTCTCGCGCTCTGACTCGGGCTCGCAGTGGTGAAGCCATGTCTCATCCCTGTCACCACACTAACAAGAAGTCCGCAGGGTCAGTTCTGAAGGCAGAGAAAAGCTTCTTACTCAATACAAACCTTTGATGCCGATTTTGTGGGATCAGGTTTCGGGGCAACCATCTGGCGGACACCTGGTTCATGTGAAGATTATCATAGATAATGGTCCTAAACGAACGAAATCATATGCAAAGCTCAGTCGCAATTTCTCTGAACTTGATCCCCTGTTTTGCAAGATGGACGCGTACACACCTTTGATTAGTGTCGGCGTGTTGGGTTGAGAAGATCTTCTTAACGGAGGCTCACCTGTGAGTGACACACGCCTACGTGTTAAACCGGCGGCCCACTGGCTACCGTTGGGTGACGGAGGCAGTTCTCGTATAGGTACACATTGACAAAGCCAGGCCGTAGCCAGAGCAAACTCCCAGGGAGGTGCACTAGTGTGCCAAGTGCTCAAAGGCAGGAACTTAAGTTGAACGCCATTATTTTTTTCAGAGCCGGGACATTGATACTTTACGGTTGATTTGTTTTGCAATGTGTTGTAGACCTCAACACATGAAAGGACTTCATTCGGTCTTCTTGGCCCGCTCCTTGTCTTAGCATGAGGATTGCACGGAAGCAAGTCGGGGGCGCATCCTATATCTCATGGAATGCACGAGCACCCAGCGCAGCCGCCTGGCTACGGACCTGCACCAGACGTTGGCGAATCTCGCAGTCGTTTGGAATTTCTTCTGTCAGAAATTTCAGAGCTACTCTCCACTCAAGTTTTCCGTAGCCGCCGTACCATTTCCTCCAGATGCCAATGTGCTGTGTGTTCTAGCAGCAGATAAACGCAATAATTGGGCTGCAAGTAATAGTACGTTCCTTCACGTCGTTATAAGTATTCATACGGTTTGCCTAGATTCAGCTTTAGCTCAAGTAATGTTTGAAGAAAATGTATTCCACTTTGAATCGCCGACAATTTTCCGGACTACGGAGTCGACTCCAACTGAACGCGGAATCGACTCCGACTGAGCGCGGAGTCGACTCCGGTTGAACACGGAGTCGAGCACGGGTGTTCGTGTAGCGGCGGGCATTGGAAACAGGCGCACTACGGGAAATGGCTGTTTGTTTTTACCTTGGATGTACCCGACTCTGTGAATGTTGGCTGCGATAATTGCCTGAAGTACAATGCTTCTGGCGACATTTTCCATCTAAACTGACGTAAGATGTCAGCGCTGCTAGTACATTTCGAGAAAAGTCGTTGATGTTAAAGACATGTGTGGGTTCTTCAAGATTTTAGCGATGTTGTTTATTTACGCGTCGCATATTTGTTCAGCCAGCTTTAATTTTCAATATTGCTGTCTGCAAGAGCAAATGACCATTTTTTCTATTTATTTTGTCAAACATTGTGCCCGTTTTAAGGAAGCGCATTGTCTTCATTTTACTTGTCTACCGCCTGTGTCGCAAATTGAATATCGAAACTGTCTCAAAGAGAGCTTTGCGAAGCCGATCCCATCACCTCTCTTCCCTTCCCGCTACTGCACATTTAAAAAGGAAAGTATTTCTGATCACGGTCCCTGTGAATGAAATATGACAATTCGTCAACTGCAAAGTATGACGCAAACACAATGTTTTGTTTTCTTGTGTAGTTCACATTTCTCCTTCGGATAGTAACGTTGCCTTTCTGCATTCCTGTGTACTGGGTGAGACAGTGGACAACCTGCTATGACTGTGTATGACCAGCTGTTTGTGATGTCGTATGATTCCTATGTCCTGCGTGAGGCATTGGACATCCCTCTGTGGGTGCGTATGACCAGCTGCTTGTGATGTCGTACGCAGTGTCCTGTATTCTCGGTGGACGGTGGTATTCTCTCGGTCGGCGGTGGGATTTTGGCGGAGGCTCGCCGTTGTGTTGTTTGGCTTCTTAAGACGGTTCCGGTGTAGCGTCCTCAGATATTTCTGACCCTTCAATGACGAGCCGTTGCTTGGCAGCGATAATGTAGCAATTGATTTATCTTCAGACTATTCCCTGCGGACTGATCTGACGAACTTCTGTTCTGTGTGAGCACTTTCTCCCGCACCCGGATTTGCTATGTGGCTGTGTACCAACGCTAACTCCTGGAGACTCTGTACCGACGCTAACTCCCAGCAACCGTTCCGCTCCAGACACGCTCGATGATGGCCACATCTACATGTACCAATACTTGTTACTTTTATGAGGGGCAAATATGTATGAATGCGGTAACGTGCTTGGAAGTAATGCTAGATTGACCAAGATAGCTTTGGTAAAAAGGTCATGCATTTTGAACCCGCCTGATGTGCATCTTTCACACACCTGATAAAGTCTCCGCACTGTGTACAGGAATCGCATGAGGTTTGTCACAAGGACGTAAGGCTCACTGGTAGCCATCCACCGCCTACACTGTTCATGACACCCAATTTGAGTTAGCATCCTTCGTATGCTCGTAGCCTGTTGTTCATCAGATGATGCTACCCATAGCTGTCATATGTGCTCTCCCGGCTTCATCGCTTGCATGCTGCATTGGTGTGCATATTTTCATTCAATGCGCTGCCAGCGACGACACGGCCTGAACGAGGGCCAGTGGCTCAGTTTCAGCACGTGGCACCGTATGCTGAAAATGAACTGTGGAATGAATGAGCTGTACCGTATGTGCCCTGAGCTAAAATGACCGACACACCTGTATACTGCTGTCCCAAACCTTATTGCACGTGCGGTTGCACGATGCTGACCGGCTGTCCGGTTGAGCCTAGAGGGTGCTCGTGGTTTGCAGGCTTACCTCTTATATATGCATAGGAGTGTTCATGAACTCGACAGAAGCCATTTTGGGTGTGGCTAAATGGCTATTGCGGGCTTTTATTTCGTTAAGATAGTTATGTATACACCAGCTGAGTCTACCGCTCCAACACGCCCGTTTGATGATGCCGCCAGCCAATAGTCGCTCGACATCTCACTCCTACGCTGCCTTCCAATCCTGTACGTGGAAGCGCTTCTAAGCGTCTGGTCACGCCTTATCGCTCATGGGCAGCCTGTGGGCTCGGCGTTGGTGGCGGAGGTGATGGGAGATGCGATGGACTCTCCTCGTCTGCCCTCCCCTCGCTCTGGTGCGCCGTCCGAGACACGCCATCTGACACCCATATAACACCCGTCTGACACCCTTCTGACACCGCTCTGGCTTCTGTCTGCCACCCGTCCGCCACCCGTCTGACATCAGTCTGGCATCCTCTGGCACCCATCTGACACCCGTCTGACACCCGCCTGACATCGTCTGACACACTGACGCCTGTCTGACACCCATCTGACACCTGTCTGACACCGCTCTAACCACTGTCTGACATCTGTCTGCCACCCTTCTGCCACCCGTCCGCGGCATACCGTCTGCGACCCGTCTGCCACTCGTCTGCCATCCGCCTGACACCCCCCTGATACCCGGCTAACATCCTTCTGACAGTCTAGCACCCGTCGGACACCCGTCTGATACCCTCGTGGCCGTCTTCACCCCCAGGGCCAGCCGTCGTCGTCGGAGCTGGTGGCGGAGGCGGTACGGGACACCATGCACTCTCCTCCGGCACCGGCGCGGCCGGCGTCCGTGTTTGGCAGCGACCCCAGCTCGCCCTCTGACACCATTCTGCCGATCGTATCGGCGCAGCGCGAGCGTTTCAGGTAGGAAGGCCAGGTCAAGTCGAAGGTCAAGTTTAGGTCATGTCGAAGGTCCGGTACGTGGCCCGGTGTGACACTTTCGGCCACTCTGGGGCCGTGAAGATGTTAAAGAGGCCTTCGCACTGGGCAAGGGACGTGTGATAAGCTGTGTGATAGTAAAACGCAAGTGGGATGGAAGGGTGGTGAGCTAGCATGTTAGCTTTCTTGCCAGACATTTTGTTCACTCATGTGCTCAGATCTCAGCTAGGTGTCGTACTGAGCTCTTGCGTCGTCCGGAGTCCGTCCAACGTGGCATCTCAAGTGTACCTAAAGCCTACCACTTTCTGCCGCTTGTGTAAGGGGCAGCCTGTCCTATCCAGGAGCAGTGATGTTTGGCCTGCCGCTTACAGGCACCGGATCCAGGAGCTGGAGCAGGAGCGCTACATGCTGCAGCACGAGCTGGGCCTCAAGGAGTCCGACATCGATGACCTGCGCCGCGACAACCTCAAGCTCTTCGAGAAGATCAAGTACCTGCAGAGCTACTCAGCACAGGTGACCGAATGTAGCGACTGCCCGATCGTGCTCTGGGACTTTGGCTGTTGGCCGATTTACGTGCAAGGATTCGCGTCGATTCTGGAATTTTTATTCGGACGTACTGGCCATGCTGTTATATAAGTTGAAGACGCCAACAAGTTTAACTGTGATTTGCAATGCATAGCGAACGTCAACGGCTCTCTGCAGTAAGTCTTCATCTCTTTCCCATAATTATTGTTCGTGATCCTTACTTGTGGTGCTCGGTCAGGTTTAAGCGTAATGTGATACGGCTATCATTAGTCACCATGACTACCTGGCTTGGTGCATTGCGTTTCTTCCCAGCGCGGTGTCGTGGAGGAGAGGTCACCATATGTGTGTGTGTGTGCCTTGTTCCAGAAATCGTCATCACAAGACGTGGAGTCGCGCTATTCCAGCCAATACGAGGACTCTTTGGACCCGTTCTCGTCCTTCTCCAGACGTGAACGCTCCAGGAAATACGCTCAGCTCAGTCCCTTTGAGAAGATCACTCTGTCCATGGTACGGGCTGGCAGCCGTCGTGCTGCCCAAACAGAGTGGCACCGCCCGTCTGCCTGCCACGTATCAGAGGGGGGGGGGGGGGGTCCAGTGATATTGTCGAATCACATGTCGTTCATTTATTTTTTTCCGATTGATGTGTGACTTTGATTTAAACCAAGCGGTAATTCACCTTGGCCAAGCTCTTCAGTCACCTTTAACCTTTCAGCAATGTACCAGATTGCCTTTCAAATTATCAGAAAGATCTTGCTTTCCTGACTAACACTTTTTCGCCATAAAGCTCGCGTCATGCAACATTTTTATGCTGACATTTTGAAATCTGTGAAATACCTTCATAAGTTCGTGAAAAATCACAGGTTCGCTGCTCGTGACTGGTTCTGCGGCCCGCGCTGCGGCACCGGCCTTCGCCGTTCTTGGAATCACAATAGGATTAGCCCGTCAAATGTGAAAATTTTCACCGAAACAAAGAAAACAGAAGAAGGACGTGAAGCGTGCTTATACAAAACTGGCGCGATCGATCCCTCTCGTTTAAAAAACCTTCCGGTAGCCAAATAATTTCGTAATGATTGTTAGGCAGAGCATGCAAAGCAATGGTTGCAATAGTTGTGATACCTTTATCAGGCTGCTTTATGCTTCCATTCGCCATTGGGCTAACCGGCGCTGTCCGTAGAGGAGATATGTGTCTAGGTGTGTCAGTTGCTCGCTGTGTGATGGCTCTGTTTCGTGAGGACACGTCATACTGTCGCATGCCTCCCCCCCCCCCCCCCTCCCTACCATCCACCACTTTGAAGATCGGTTTGGTGCCGTCCTGTGCGGTGCGTCAGGGTGTGTTGTGATGTGTCAGGGCACCCCGTCCTTCACATGCAGGGTCAGCTGGTGCTGTCCAGCAAGGGCGCCCGCACGGCCGCCTTCCTCTACACGCTTCTGCTGCATCTGCTGGTGTTCGCCGTGCTGTACAAGATGGCCTACTCGGAGATGTACCGCCGCGAGATTTCCTCAGATTGCGCAGAAAGGTCGGCAGACGTGCACGAGGCGCCTGACCTCCCCCCCCCCCCCCACGCGACGAGCTGGATCTTATGTCGTTTCATATTTGTATTCCGATTTGATAAATATGTGGATGCTCGCGCTTGTTGCCTATAGGCTGCAGCCACATTCATCAGAGCCACAGTCTGTCTTCTTTATCATTGACCGATCGGTGTCGCTTTGTGGTCATTTAAGGCAAAACGCATTTGCTTTATTACGTCTACCGTTTTGCAAAGCTGCAATCCCTGCTAATGTGGTCGCCATGATGGACAGCCATGACGTCACGGCCTGGGCAGCTCCGCCGGTGATAAGCTCGCCTGGACATGCCGTTCGCGTGATAGGCGTTATTAGTATCGCGCCATCGACCTAAGCGTTTCAGCTGGTTGGTTCTTCGCCACCCACGCCGGCTGGTGGCCGTGTCCGCAGGTATGCCGAGCACATGATGAAGATCCACGGCGAGCATGCTCACGTGTGAGGCCCCGCCCCTGGTGACGTGCCCTTTGGCCACGCCGCCCAGCCTACTGGAGTTGTTACGAGTGACGCCGCAGAAGACCAGAGGTGTCAACATGAGCAGGACATAGCGGCATCCGAACTGGGGAGGCCCCTTCGGCCTCTCTGGGCTGCTAATCCCCTCCGATCGGGCAACTGTCCGCGCAGGTGCATCGCTCACATTGCATATGCGACCGTCTATGTAACCGGTGTTGGATGATTTGTACTGAGCGCTGCCCGTGCCAGCCGGCCTCGTCACGGTAGACGTTCTGTCATGTTGGGTTTTTTTCTGCTGTCCGCCTGAGCGCGGTCTGAAAGCTTCGATTGTTGCTTCGCGATTCTGCTTGGTCCAGCGCTCTGAGCTTCGCGCCGAAGCTTAAGGCGGTAATGGCGGCGTATGATTATGATCAGTCTGTTCGTAAAGCACGCGACGGCAGATACCGCAGTGGCGATTCGTGTCGTTCCTCGCCGTGGGGCCTTTTCCGTCTGTCACATGATTCATTTGCACGGCTGAGTGACATAGGGCTGCAGTCATTTGTCCAGCACGCGTTATGCTAAACACATTTTCCGCACGTTTGACAGGCGCATCCGGGCAGGGATGCGTCTTGGCGTGAAATATACTTGCTTCAACAATGCTTTTGTGTTCCGTAGATTTCAAAAAGAAGCAAGGCCATACGTGCTGATCGGGCGGGAGACCTTTGATGTTGGTGCAAACCCGGCGTTCCTCCGCATCGCGATATGGACAGCTTAAGACGATATTAACGAAATGCTTTAATCATTGGGTGGATCGTATTCTGCTGCCACCGCTGACGAATCGGTAGCTGAGGTGTACTGATTCAAAAATAATGATCGTGGTAACAGTTGACCATAAAGTTAAATGCCACAGAGTATTTCCACGTATGCATTTTGAACTCCTTGAAACGCCTCCATGATTTCACTGCTCGCAACGCTTCTGTAACTCGACTTTTCCCCATTCAACTTTGACATATTTGTTAACTGCAGACTGCCGACTGGACCATTGTCCTACGTTGCGATGCGCGGTGTCAAAACATTCGCAAGTCAGGCACGTCCCCAAGCCTGACTTGACTTCATTTCTTTGCCCCTCCGAAGAACACGTTTGGAGTGTTGTGTATGGGCACGACGGACAGCCGAAAGCGCGCTCATGTCCTGCGCGTGGTAGAAGTCTGGCTCCCCCTCTCTCCCTTCTCTGTCAGCCCATGAACAACCGGCATACAGGCCGATTATGTATTGTGAGTGTGACACCGCCCCCTGCGGACGTGCCATACGGGCAGGTGGCGCTGCTAGCCGGCGTGGAGTCCAGGTGGCAGCACCGGTATCCAGCCTGCCGCCCGCGGTCGCCAGCTCCCATTTTTACAATGTGTTGCAACAAACCGCATCTCTTCCATCCGTCGCCCATGGCACGTTTGCACAAACCCCCTAGTAGTTCTGCAGATGGAGCGGAGAGACGCCTCACAGGGAGGGGGGGGGGGGGAGAGGGGGTATGTGTCGCTCGAACGACGCGCGCGGCGTGGTCGGTGCGCGATGGCCGGCACAAGCGGAGAGCCTACAAGTGTGTCGGCGGTCGCAACCGAGCAGAGGTTACCTAGTGAACGCGAATATTGGCATCAACACTGTCCTTCACCGTTGTACGACTTGTGGTGGGATAAGAGCACCGACACGGTCCCAGGTCAGCTCACAATCACTCATGCGTCAGCCTCTAGGTTCTACAGGGTAGTCTTGCGAGCGGACATGAATTGCATACGTAAGGTAAAGCACAGCTAAAGCGGGTACCGTCCGTTCTATACAGTGCAAACGTGGTCTGAACGGCCCTACAGGTACCGCGGAGTCTGACCGCAGTCAGCTATGCAAGCGGCAAGGCGAGCTTTTACGCTTAATCTCAACTGGCTGTCAGGCATGTCAGGACCGTTGACGTGGTGGAGCATTGACTGATGGCCACGGATACAAGGGCGGTAACGAACACGAGGCCGCATCGCTACCGATCATGCTATACAGGTGTCAAATGCGGCACAGTGCAAGCCCGCTCATGCTATCGAGCTTATGTACTTGTGACCTAATGCACGCTGGTTGTGAATGGCGAGCCCGAATGAAATCCATTGCCGCAACACTGACAACGAATCGGCTCAAGCGTTAAGTCGACTCGCCACTCAAAGACAAGCGATCTAACAAGATAAGTTACCAACAAGTGTTGCTCAACGGTGATGAGCAATCTTTACACGCTCCTCCCTCACACTGGTCACACTCCCCCCTTTTCAGGAGTCGCACCCAGTGACTTCACACAAACCACGCACGCTCTGGCAGGACTATCTACATCATCCATTCCAGCACCATATGTTCAGCTTAAGCACGTCCTATCGCATTATGATGAGTCTCGCCCCTACGTCTCGGTCTCGGTCTCGGTCTCGGTCTCGGTCTCGGTCTCGGTCTCGGTCTCGGTCTCGGTCCCGGTCCCGGTCCCAGTCCTGGTCCCGGTCCCGGTCCCGATCCCGGTCCCAGTACCGATACCGATACCGGCCTCGGAGCCATGTCCCGGTCCCGGTCCCACCTGAACGGGCGGCCGGGACCGAGCGCCGAGTGAGCACCTCGAACGCGTCGCGGTCGACTCCAAGAATAACTCGCTTACAGATGGCAAGCGCCAGTACATCGGCAAGTCTCTCTCACCACGCGACAACCGTCCTCCACCTCTGTTAGCTCACAAACCGAACGAAACCGGCCTTCAGACCGGCCTCTGACCCTTCGCAGAGCCTCCAAAGCCATTCCAACTCTAACCAATAATAGGCCTCCAAAGGCTCCCCGTTCACGTTCCCCTCTGACTGGCGGGGCCTCCACCCGCCTTCGACCCGCTTCAGGTGTGCAGCTGCGGTCGTCAGCGTCAGCCGAACAGTTTGTCGAAGCACTGGTGGCAGTAGGGCTTGTCGGCCTGCTCCTTGAACGTGCCCTTGTTCAGCTGCTTCAGGCAGAACGAGCAGACGAAGTGTTCCGGGTGGAACTTGCGGAACATGGCGGTAACGCAGCGACCTGACGCGAGGGACTAGAGTCAACGCGCGTCGACAGAGCAGTGCGATCTAAAAAGCTATCACGCCGATTGTTTATCATCAGATCTACATCAAATCATTTCTCATCTGGCAAAGACAACGAGGGCTATTTGTGCAGCATCGCAATGTCAATATCTGGGTTATCAGTGGCTGCTCGGGATGGTTTTACGACTGGGACACGCCCTAGGGCGGCCCCGGCATTACTGCTACGCATCACAGTGCAACTCAAGTCACTGCGCTCACAGCAGACAATCACACATTGCAACCAGATACCAGTGGTACAGAAAGAAGACGACTATGGCACCGTCAATTGGTGGGGAACTGTAGAGTCTAGGGCCTAAAAGTACGCCTTTACTCACGACAGGCACCGCCGCCGCACAATGTACGCTTGCCAGCCGCGTGACCTCGACACCAGCCGCGGCCGCTGCCCCTGACCCGCAGGCAGCGGTGTCTGGTATCCGGACCGGGGGGGGGGGAGGGGACCAACCTGTGATGGGCTTGTGACAGCCGGCGCAGAGGGAGCCGCGCTTGGCGTGGTAGTGAGTCTCGCAGTACGGGTGGCCCTCGTACTCGAAGAACGAGCCGTTCTCGAACGACTGCTGGCAGTCCTGCAACGGAGCACGGCGGTGATGAGAGGAGCGTGGCCACGGCGGCGGAGTGTGCATCGCGGTGCTGGCGGGAGTGGGGTCCAAACTGCCATCCCGGAGTCTCCCGGGGTTCAGGTCTGTCTCATCTGTACCGTCGCCTGTAACAGCCCATGCGTCTGCCAGAGTTCATCGTGAGCCAGATGCGTGCTCACGTGATTAAATTGCCTTGAATATTATCTGGTTTGCGACGGGACGTTTACAGCTAGCTAGCTGGCCGTTATGACCTGCGATATCATACTAAACGGGTCATTATATGGCGTGTTCCTGGACCGTGTTCGAAGCATATACATTACACGCGGGCAGGAAGGTATTCATCGCAGGCCGGTATCCATTTCTAGCAGTTCGCCCAATGACACTTTGATCCGGATATTCCGACAGGATGTGGTCGGGCCCACGCGTCGAATGACACGAATCCGTGTTGCATGCTAAACCGCACGGCTCTGGTACATATTTCGGGGCGTGAACCCCAGGAAGGGGCATACATTCTGGTTGTCTTCTCGGAGCGGGGCTGCTCGCTATCCAAACATGGTGAAATCAATGCGATATCGGAGGGTCTGTACCTTCTCAACCCTCCTGCCAAGAGAAACGGTGCCGGCCAGTTGCCCTAGGAACCAAGGACATGTCGCCTTTCAACCGCGACCACCAAAGCAGCGACTCGCATCGCCATAAGGACTCCTAAGCCCCTCCCCGACTCTAACCCCCCTCGATTCTAAGCCCCCTCGACTCAAACCCCCATCGACTCTGACCCCTCGACTCAAACCCCCATCGACTCTGACCCCTCGACTCAAACCTCCATCGACTCTGACCCCTCGCTGGTGCCCATGAGATGGCCACTGCAAGCAGACACACGAACGGAAATCGGCCGCAGCCACCGACCGGCGGGCCACCAGCTGCTACCACCCGGTAACACAGCCTTCAACAATGACGGCTGAGTAGATCAAAGGCGCGGACGCATCGAGCGGGCCGATGTTAGAAACAGCAACCGGGGCCGTCACGACGGGCGTCCGGACGGCGCTCAGGCGGCGCGTGTGGCAGGCAGGGTGGCGGCCGGCGGCTCAGAAGGGGCGCCGCTCGGCTGGTGTGTTGTCTCGCACAACAACCCTTGAGACGACCGAGTCCGTGTAAACTCATGTTCGGAATTTACTCACGCCGCGCTGTTTGTAAGTTGTTCCGGACCGACAAGGAACAACCTCAAAATAGCTCTCAATCATTCGCACTGAAAGCCGCGCGGCAGGTGGCCCCCGCCCGCTCACCTTGCACACGAAGCACTCGGGGTGCCACTGGCTGTTGAGCGCCGAGATGTAGTTCTCCATGACGGGCTGGGTGCAGGCGCCGCAGCGGGGCGCGAACATGTTGAAGTAGTCGGCGCGGCAGTAGGCCTTGCCGTCGCGCTCGTGGAAGCCGGCCTCGCCGAACGGCTGGCCGCACTGGTCGCAGAAGAAGTGCTCCGGGTGCCAGGTACGGCCCAGCGCCGTCACACATTTCTGCAACGGCAGGGGAGATGAGGTAAGGGCGCTAGTCTTTTAATTGGGAGGTGCGGGATCGAGTCCCACCTCTGGAAACTTTTACGAACGCACTATTGTTTGGAAATTTTAGCTCCACACGGTATTGTGAGATGAAGACAGGGGACGGTGGATACCACAATTTGCCGGAATCGTGTTTTGTGTCCGAAGTGACAGCACATGGGATTAATTGTAAGTGACGCAAAGGCGGCATGCATCGTGTCAGATCACGTGGCATTCCTGCATCACAACAGGGGACAGAGAGTGGAAATGGCAGGGAAGCACTAGGAAAGCAATTGATGTCCTCACAATCATGTTGGGTTAAACGCACTCATATCTAGAATGGGCCAACAATGCTGACATTACGGACGGCCAGGGTCGCTCACATCAAAGATAATTCAAGGTCGCTCACGTCAATACTGCGCCAACGTCGCTCACGTAAAGGACGTGTCAAGGACGCTTACGTCAATGATGGGTCCCTGGCAGTAGTCACAACGGGGTGAGAAGAGATTGTGGTAGTCGTTCTCGCAGTAGGGCAGACCGTCCCGCTCGAAGAAGTTCCTGTTACCCAGCTCCATGTTGCAGTGGGCACATGTGAAGTGCTCGGTGTGCCAAGTCTTGCCCAGCGCCGTGATGACCTGTGTGTGTGAGGGAGGGGATGGGGGGGGGGGGGGGCGCATGGTCACTCGGCGGATAACGAAGGCACAGTACCTGCAATTGTATTTGAGCTGCTCACATGGACACATTTCGCTCTTCAGAGCCGCGGATGCGACGCAAGTCTTTGGAGTGAGATCAAGTTCCGAATGCCGCGTCAAACACCGCACCCGAACAGCAAAAGTGCTGTGTTTTTATCGTGCTGGGAGCATAATTCAATTGTGAATTCACCAAAGCACAGAACCAATCGTTTCGTGAAACGAAACGGCTAAGCATGTAGACTTCATCGAAAACCGGCTCTTTTCGACCTCGATGCATTTCGAGTTCTGAAAGCAGCATCATTTACCTTTGGTATACCACTGCCCACCTGATCTGATGTAGTTCCTTGCACCGATTAAGGAACAGACCAGCCTCCTTTTATGCGCATACCCCATTAACTCACTATCAGCACCAGTGCCACACCTGGCAGGACACGTGAAGGGGACGGCGAACAGAGGACGGGGAGACGACGCGGTCCGAACCTGACCTGGAACATACAGAGGTCTCGCCAGCTGCACCTCACCTGGCCGGCAATGGGCTTGTCGCAGGCGGCGCAGGTGCCCTTGTGGGTGGTATTGACGCCCTGCTTGCTCATGTCCTCCTGCAGGCTTCCCAGCATGTTGTCCAGCTGCTTGGCCTTGGCCGGCTTGGCGTACGGCGGGTCGTGCGTCTCCTCCACCACCGTCTTCTGGTACGAAGTGGCGTGGACCTGCGGCGGCGGCGGCAGTTCCGGTGGGCGTGGCCCCAGCATACGTCACCATCGCCGGTGTATGCGAAGGGAGTGGCTCCATCGCGGCACCATTCACGCAGGTCATGAAAGCGTGGACAAATAAACAGCGATCACGCCTGCAACGTGACAACCCGCAGCACCGCGCCTGCGTGACTAAATGGGATGGGCGCTCTGCTGTGTCGTTTGCTCCGCACGGGTGCACACGAAAACGGGGTGCAGCGTAACTTGACCGCTGTTCGTGGTGCATGCAATTAAGCCTTCTGTGCATTTCATGACACCTCGTTTTATTGTGGTGCTGGCTGGTGCCACAAATGCACGTATGCCCGGGCCGATTGCGCAACGTAACTGCACGGGGATAAACAGCCCTCAGAGGGCTGCGAGCGTCACATGCATGGCGTAACAAACACCCAACATCTCCCTTGAAGCCGGCATGGCCCCACCCTTCCCTGATGTTCCACATCATCTCCAAAATTTCGTATATACACCGCAGAGGAGGCCTCTGCCGCCGAGCCGGAGCCTCCCACAGCGCCCCTCGCCCATCGCACTGTGCGACACGGCCCCGCTGTCAGTGAGGCCTCCTAAAGCGGCGCAGTCCGCCCGGCCGCCCCTGTCGCGCCTGGCCTTCGCCGCATTCATCTGCAGAGTCGTGTGCACGTGTGCAGTTACCCCTGCTGTCGCATAACGAAGCACTGGGGGGGGGGGGGGGGGGCGAGGGAGCCGACCGGGACTCTCAGACCGGCTGTTAGGCGGTGTGTAACACGACACGCGAGTCGCAGATGCTGTTGCGTGTTTATTTTCACCGCGCTGCAATCGGATAAATGAGCCCGCGGCGTCAACATGGTCGGCTGTCGTCTCGGCGATGGCGCGCCCGTTAGCAGACGGTGAGGTGGTGCCCGATCCCGAGAACGACCGGGGCCGCGGTGTCATGTGAACAGGTCCGCGAAGCTGCAGACTGTGGGGCCATGGCCGGGTGAGGAGTCCCGTCTGTGGGGCCATGGACCGGGAGAAGTCCCGTTTCTGGGGCCATGGACCGGGGGAAGTCCCGTCTCTGGGACCATGGACCGAGAGAGGTCCCGTCTATGGGGCCATGGCTCGGGAGAGGTCCCGTCTGTGGGGTCATGGACCGGGGGAAGTCCCGTCTCTGGGACCATGGACCGAGAGAGGTCCCGTCTGTGGAGCCATGGACCAGGGGAAGTGCCGTCTCTGGGACCATGAACCGAGAGAGGTCCCGTCTCTGGGGCCATGGACCGGGAGAAGTCACGTCTGTGAGAAGCTGAACTGAGACAGACATTGTCTGCAGGACCGGTAAACTCGGCAACGTCCCGTCATAAAGGCATTGACCGAAAGACGTTCAGGGGACCACGGACTGCGAGATGCCTCGTCAGCAGAGAGCCTGGACCCCACAGAGACTCTAGATTTGGAACCACAGCCTGGAAAACGTCTTAGCTCTGAGACCATGGTCTGAGGCAACGAGGGATCTATTTTGTGAGGAACCACGGGCGGAGAGTCTGTGCGGCTGTGAGCTCAGGGTCGTGTCATATAGTGGAACACGCAACAGATACGTCTCGTCTGATAAGAACCGGAGGCCGAGAGGCATCTCGTCTGCGGGACAGGGCGTTCCGTCAGCGGGACCGTCCACCGAGACACGTCCCTTGATGGGAGCTCATCCTTCTAGAGCCGCCCCGGCGCACCCCACCTCCCCTCCCCCCTCCTCCACCTCCTGAGGTCGTACTGCGGGTGCCGGATAAACACGACCCGATTGGTAAACCATCGACTCGGTAAACGGACCAATTTAGCCGGCGGAAGCGGCGGCGCGGAGCAATCTCTGCAGCGGTGGGTCGGGCCGGACGGCAGATGCCGTGACGTCATCGTCAGAGACGGCGCCGCTCCGAAAATAGCGGCCGGTGCGTCCGGCCGGGGGCCGCCGACCGGTGAGCCGCAAACCAGGCCCCTGTCACAACGGGGTGCCTGTTGACGCGCCGTCGCTGTCGCGACCGAGGCTGGAGCGCGTCCCAGCCCAGGTCGGAGAGACGCGGCCGGGATTCACAGGGGGTCGTGAGCGAGCGAGTCGCGGCCAGGTGAGGGTGTAAGCGCGTGGGGTTAGGGCGCGGACACGGCGCCAACGGTGTTACCTTGAAGTCGGAGAGCGACGCCATGAGGTCGTCCAGCTCCTGCGTGGCCGAGGAGGTGGTCTGGCAGCCCTCCGGCACGCTCTCCGTCACCGTCACCGTCCGTGTCTCGAACGTTTTGGCGTTCCTGCGGGCATGGGCGGGTTGCGTCAGGTCGGATAAAACATGTCAGTTGTCTGGCTGTTTGACGCACCGCGGCCGCCCCTGCGTGCTTCCTGATTACGCAACTGGGAAATGAGGGCAGCGACGTTACCACGCAGCGAGTCAAAACAAATCGGGTGAGCTCCTTTCAGCACGCAATGCGACGAGCAATGGTTAGAGTTAGAACCCACGTGCGGACCTTGCTTTTCGGTTTGGGATGCAAGTGAGTGGCTTGTTGCGAGCAGTGTCCATGATTTTAGTAAACGATGAGATCACATCAGCAGATGATGAAATCAAATTGAGTTGGGTTAAGCAAACGCATTTTGGCGTCAAACGTGAATACATCAGAGGCGTTTAAGAAATTAAACGAAGGGCATTGATTTGTTGCCATTCGCGCTGCAGGTACAAGCCTTTAACCTCCAGACATGTCTTTAATGATTTGTGAAACAGCCCAGTTATGAGCAACACAGAGCATGGCCTGTGTTGCTGAGTTACGCACCACACAATAATACTCGGGTACAAACCGGATACCAAAGTTCTGATTTATCACTATGGTGTTTCCTCCACTGGGTAGATGGCGCGGGCCCAAATGAAATAGACAGGTTTCTGAATAAATATCCCTGGCAAACGGCTTATCCATAGTTACGGCGTCATTACGAAATTGCGATCCATCACATGCTAACCGACGCATGCCAACACAATATCACAATCATTTTCCTCCGTCGCCGGGGGTTGTTTTCCTTCGCCCACGGGTTTCCGTTCCGGGGTAGCCGAGAGTGCGCCGGTCACGTGGTCAAATCGGGAAATCGACGGCTCCGGCGCCAGCAGAATTACCAGCGCAGGCCCACCTGGGCCCACCCACGCGGCGCGACTTCCTGCCGCATGACGTCACCACGACGCTATCTAACATTGCATCGGTATTTCAACGCGGAAGAGCCACGCACGTTTAAGAAGGGGCTGAAAAACGTTGTCACGAGTCGCGGCGAGTAGCGCTTTGGGATAAGCGGGGGGGGGGGGGGGGGGGCGCTGACGACCTTCCCTCGTTCTCCGAAGTGTCGATCATGTGAAGCGGTGTGCATGCAGAGCGGTTTTTGAAGCATTTGCAAAGTGTGTAGTCACCTTCATCACACGACCGATCGCAAATATAAATTTATCTTGCATGCCTCTAAAGTCCCATACCTCCTCATGATAAAAAGATGTAACGTGATGGCTACGATACATGATGGGGATACATGTGGGGACATTTCCATCACATTAACATGTAAAACAATCTACTGGCGATGCGGCTGATGGCGAAATTCAGGTATAATTGTAAACAACGCAGAACTGAAGGAGCCTGCTCGGGCATGGTGTCTGACGAGTCCTGCTGCATAGCATCCCGCCGCGATCCAATCAGGAAACGGCGTAGATGTTTTTGTATGTCGAGATCTGGTGATGACGACATTTTTTAGCGCGGGGTGTCTGAAGCATGTTGCACCAAGGTGACAAAGCAATTCAGCGTGGACAGCCCAGCCCAGACACCACATGATTTAGTGGAGCCTACACGAGCACATGGGTGAGCCTGTTTTCAAACCAAGACCGGTTCTAGGCTGTCATTGCAGTCGCCGATCGCCACAGTACCTAAGAATATCAAAAATAGCGCCAGCCGTTCTCAAACCACCCGCCCCTCGATGCCGGGTCTGGCCGATGCCATCCAGATCGGAAATCTCATGAAGGTTGGCAGTTCAGCGCGCCTCCAAGACAAACACGGCTCGGTGAATTAATATCTGCCGAGTCAAAACAGCAGACTCGGCGCTGACGCATTCATTACCGGGCAATAGGCATTAGCGTCCAATATTGGCTGTCGCGGGACCGTCAGGTCTAACGCGCGTACCACGACGGCTCCTTCACTTAGGAGACATTCGCAGGAAAGGTGCACATAGAACTACATACATGAGAGAAAATGAGACTACAGCCAACGTACAGAGAGGCAAGGCGCGATACATCATTTGGTACCTGGACGCGAATCTAACCATGCCGATGACATTTCGGCGACGGTCTGAATCAGGGATGTTTTCTTAAGGGGGAGGTAGTTAAGCGTACTCACCGTACTTCTTAAGAAGTACGGTGGGTACGCATTACGTCGACTGAACCTTCCCGTCAGGGTCATCTATGGCGGGAATCATCCGGGCCTAAGGGGGGAAGGGGCTGCTCGTCCGTCATCGTCACCTCTCTGGGCTGCGCCCCTGGTTGAAATAAATGCGGGTTCTTCGATATGATTCCAGTGATCACGCCATCTGATTCCAGGTATTCCCCAGCTAGGGGACGCGTGCTGGCGCATGCGCGATCCCTCCATTCAAAGAAGCTCTGCAATGAGTCGCAACCTCTTGGCATAGACGCCCTTCCCACGCCAGTCACAGGCACTTGCAGGGTGCACCGCACGCACCAAGGCGTTGCCACCTCCAGGAAGATCAACGACAGGCGTTCCCGCATGCATGAACTTTGCATTTGGAAGTGAGGGCCCGTAAGGTACTCTCCGCGGTGTTTAAGGCGGCGCGCCGGTTTTGGTCGTCGGGGCCGCGACACGTGACAACTCTCGAACCTGGGGCCGACCCGCAGCGTGGCGCACAGTGGGAGGTAGGCACCGCCGGCCGCTGCACTTGCAGCCCTCTGTGCATGGGACCCGAACATAGCCTCTAGCCAACGAGCCGTAAATGTTCAACCGCCCCACCGATCAGAGCTATTCCGCGGCCTTCGTTCCGAGCACTCGAACCGGCTGATGGCACCGCAGACCGCTCGCCGACGGGGTGCCGCCACACCTTCTCTGCCCACGGCTGTCGGCGCGGCCACAAGGTCACCGACCTTGGACCCTTCCTCACAGACGGTCGCCGGCGGCGCGACAGAAGCCGCCGACATCAAACGGCCGCTCCGTGCACGTGCGCGCCCGGCTATTCTCATCGCAGCAGAAGTCGGCCAACGGGTGCGTTGATCGCCGCCCGCTGCAGGGAGAGGGGGAGGGGGAGCAGTGTGCCAGGAGAGTGGGAGGGTCGACCTTGGCCGCATCGGCAGGGGGCGCGCTGGTTTGTTTACCTGCGAAACCACGGCCGGGCGTCCGCGGCGCGAAGAGGCGGGGCGCGCCAAGGGGCGTCGTTACCTGTACCTGCCCGGCCCGGCACCTCGCCCATGGCGTGCCGTTACCTGGACCCGCGGGCTCCTCTACAAGGAGAGGGGCGGAGGCAAGTCCCCCAACGTTTCGGACACCAACATCGCGTCTGTAGGCTTGCAACGACAGGCGCGTCTTACGAAACGGTGGTGTTTTCCCAGCTTCAGGGCTGCGGCGGAGGCCCCGTTTGAGCCGTGAGGCGTACCTCGACCCTACGTTGGCGAAGGTCTTACCGGTGTCTTGACCCGGGTGGACCTGATCTGAACCCGCCCACCACCGCATTTGGAAGTAGGCGGCCCGGCGTCGCCTGCACGGAAAAACCCAGCCTGCGCTGGTGTGAGAGGCCTCACAGTGCGGCGCGCGCCTGTGCCTGTCGGCCTGACCTGACGTTCCGTGACTCCGGTTCGACGCAGCGCGGCCAGCGCGGAGGACTCACTGCGGCGGCATCACGTAGTCGACGATCTCGATCAGCTCCAGTATCTGCCCCGGCCGGCCCATGGCCTCTCCGCGCCCTTCGGCGGGCCTCCCGCGCTCGGGCTCGGGGCACGCCCCCACCTCAGCCCAGACTTGCGCTCACAGGTAGCCTAAGGTCACGGCTCGGGGATACTGTGGCTATTGTGGCTGCTGTAGCTGCTGTGGTTGCCCTCGCTGCCGTTCTTCTGAGGTCAAGAGTGTCCCGAACAGTGCAGACGACAGCGCTGCCCTGCACGACCCGGGCACGCCGCGGCGTGTGGCCACTCCAGCCGCGATCAGGACCACTGTCTGGTGCGCCCCGTCACTGGACGTCGCTGGATGCTGTCCTCGTCACTGGGTGTCGCTGGATGCCGTTCTGGTCACTGGAAGCCGCCTCCGGTTACTGGATATCTTCCTCGTCAGTGGACACCATTGGTAGCGTCTGAGACACCGGACACTGTCCCGACCAGCGCGTGTCTCCACCCGTCACTTGCCGCCGTCTCCAATGCTGCACGTCACTGACTACGTCCCGACACCACCCGTGCTCCGCCGCCGCCTCTCTGAGGGATGGTTCACGCCGCCGCCGCCCCACCGCCAGACTGCCGCCCGCCGCCGCCCGGCAGCGGCCGACCCGGGCGTGACGTCACCGCTCCCGGCAGAGCGTCGAGAGCGGGCGGGCAGAGCAGCGAGCGACGACGAGGCGGACGGCAGGCGTCAAGCGAGACAGCCTTCGAGAGCGTTGGCGAGAAGCTCAGACTGGCGACTGCGGCAGAGGAGCGAAGAAGACAGTCCAGAGACGGCACGGGAGCGCGCCTGGTCGCGGTTGATAGGAGACGAGAACCTCCTGGGGGGCGCCGCCGCCGCCGCCGCCGCTGTCGTCGTCGACGCGTCGGCGCCGACGGCTCGCATCGGCGCGGCGCCGGGCGGAAACAGACGGCCGCCATCTATCCGGCTGTCAGGCGGCCCTCGGTTGGGAGACGTGACGATGACGAACGAGCCGCGGCGGGCGTCAGCCCAGTCAGTGTCAGGCGCCAGTTTGAGGCCGGTCCTCGCCACGTGCCGACTGTCGGTCCTGATGGTGTCACCACCGGCCGGCCGGAGCGGACCACGTGGTTAGACCCGTCGTTGTCACGTTCCGTCATTCTGGTTGGTGTCGCGTGCCTCCATGTCGGCACGTGTCACGTGCCGCATGTAAAGGCAGGCGGCGTCATGCGCTAACTGTCAGGCTGGTGAGTCTCTTGTGCCGGCTGTAATGCCGGCCAGCGTTCCTTGTCACCGGCAAGCCAGCTAGTATGCCGTATGTGCTTCGCGTGGCACCAAACCGGCACAGCTTTATCACGGTCGTAGCTTTCCTGCCGCCATCTGTCGACCAGGGCTCCTCCACGGGCGCCGTACTGCGAGGAGCTTTATAGCTGATTCGTATTTAAACAAATGATTTAGAATGTCCACATTATGAGTTGAAGCCCTATAATTTGCGTCAAATTGCCAGAGCGTGGGGATATGAATGCTTGCAACCTTATTCCCACCACGGCGAAATGAGTCTATTACGGCTCGTTTCAGACCCGCCCTTTTTATATTCCCGCTGCGCCTCGGTAGACCGCTCGTCATGACAAATCTCCTGAGTTTAGCTGAAACACGGCCTTAGTTCGTACGGTTGCGTTCTGCGTTGTTTGTGTTAGCACGTTGCATGAAGGCTTATATTCACGTATAGGTATGACGCTTGACTAGTAATCAGTTGCACTTATTACTCTCAGGGTCGCAGCCAGAATTTGCGACAGGAGGAAAAGGTTGGGGAAGAGGACTGCCATAGTTTGCGACGGGATTGGCAGCCATGATTTATGATGGAGGGGGCTAATTTGTGTGAGCGAGTCCGAGCCCCATTAACAGAACATACACACCGCGAACAGACCTACTTACCCCACAAACGGTTATAGTTACAATGCCTACCACATCGATAAGCTATCGCTGTTGGTTTAGGATGGTGTCTTATATACTTGTTTCAGCTGCGTATCGAGCATGTTCGCTCGGCTATCCGCTAGCCTTGTTACTGAAGGACGCTGTTAGGCTCCGCAAGTCGTTACCCGCGGTGGTGTCTATGAGGTCTAAAACCAAGATGGTTTCCCGATCATCAGATTTTCAAAAAGCATCGCTCGAACTACGGGGTATAAAGCTCCATGAGCTTCACCTGGCTGCGCCACTGGTTCTTTTGGCTGACAAACTGTATTGCGTCTGTCCCAAATATTTTATTGTTTTAGGCGAATCCAAGGAAATAAGGCATAACTTTAGTACTGTGCCGCGGCAAGTCGAAAGCCTGTCCACTATGACAAGCAAGCTACGCACTCATTTGCTTTGGAATTATTAACTACTGATTGACATGAGACATGCTTACTCGTAATATTCTCGTAGTTGCACCATTTCATCATTCCGCAAAATTTTTACTAAAAAATCGAAGCTCCATGACTTGACGCAAAACTATAAGTTCTGCTGTCTGTTGAGGGATATGTGCAGCAGAACACCAACGTTCACTAAAATGCCTGATGATGAAATGAAATGAAATAACCGTGACGAAACGTAATAAACCGTGCACAAATATGACGTAACTTTAGACTTTGCTCAACGGCGATATCCTACTCCCCTTGGCCGTCTCCCTCTCCCACTGATCTGTCCGACTAACGAGCCAGAGTACCGACAGACACTGCGTCTCACCGCTCCCTTATTACAGCCCTTGGAGCCCCCCCCCCCCCCCCCCCCCCGACTGCTGCAGCATGATGCAGGCCGGTCCAGGCCGGCGGCGGTGCTCTCCGCGGGCAGCCGAGCCCTGTTGTGACGGCGGCGGCTGCCCGGAGACCGGGCCCGGTAGACGGACGGGGCAGAGACGGGGCAGTGTCCCGGCGCGGCTCACGACTCCCGTGACAGGGCGGGTGCAGCCGCAAGGTCCCGGCGGAGACTGAGAGGTGTTGTCGTGGAGCGAGGTACTCACGGGTGGGCACCATGTCCAGGGGTACTCACGGGGTGGGCACCATGTCTAGGCGTACTCACGTGGTGAGCACCATGCCCATGGGGTATTCGCGGGATGGGCACCAAGTCCAGGGGTACCCACGTGGTGAACACCATGTCAAGAGGTACTCACGGGGTGGGCACCATGTCAAGAGGTACTCACGGGGTGGGTACCTCTTGGCACTATGTCCAAGGGTATTTATGGGGTTAGCGCTATGCCCAGGGGGTACTCACAGGTGGGCACCACGTCCGGGGGTACTCACGGGGTGGGCACCATGTCCAGGGATTCTCCCGGGGTGGGCCCCATGTCCAGGGATTCTCCCGGGGTGGGCCCCATGTCCAGGGATTCTCCCGGGGTGGGCACCATGTCCAGGGATTCTCCCGGGGTGGGCACCATGTCCAGGGGTACTCACGGGGTGGGCACCATGTCCAGGGATTCTCCCGGGGTGGGCACCATGTCCAGGGATTCTCCCGGGGTGGGCACCATGTCCAGGGATTCTCCCGGGGTGGGCACCATGTCCAGGGGTACTCACGGGGTGGGCACCATATCAAGTTCATCCGCGGGAGCCGCCCGAGGCGACTTGACGGACACGATGTTTGCATTTGTAGGCGGCGGCGAATCTGAAGCGACAGAGAACAGGCTGGTCAGGCAAACAACTCGGCTCGCAGCCGGTGTACCAATAACCACCAGTGGCAATGCAGACTGGATCTGGTGCAGTAGCGCGCCCGTCAAGGCATCACGTGCAGAAAAATCAAACGCGCGCCGAAAGTTGCTTACCGAGTTCGTACAAATACCCGTGGCGCAACAGGTCGTTAGATGATATGTACACAAACCCATGGCAAACGGCAGCTTGCCCTGCCTGGCGACGCAACGTAAACAAACAGCACATGGTGCAGCGAGAAACAGTCGTCGGACGGGTTCGGCATTCGACCGCTAAAAGCAGCAGCAGGCAACATTCACCGCCCCTGCCATCTGTCTCACAGCGACATATCGCGCCGAATCTCCGTGGAACAGCTGCCGAACCTGGCTACACGGCTGGGCGCCAAATTCCGCGTCGCGGTCGACCGAGACAGCCGACGTCTGTGACGAGTCCTGGCTGCTCGACACGGGCCTGGGCCAAGTTCTGTTGTGGCTCGGGTTGACTCACTGTTTAGAGCGTCGGTGAGTGGTTGGCATTCACCCCTGTGTTAGACCGTGTCAAGGTGCTCTGTGTTTATCGCCGGGGCCGGCAGGAGTTGAAACCGTTACTTGATGGCTTTCAGAGCGCGCCCAGAGGTGTCATCAGCCAGCAACGCTACCAGCGATCAGACGTGTGGATGCTGTCTGCCGCTACCTGTGTGCTCGGCATGGTACCGGTCTGTTGCACGTCTCACGCTGACTCCCTCGCGCGTGCGTTCAGGAACTCATCTGATTACATAATAAGCGTGGTGTCACGGCTATGGTCTGCTGTATGTATTGGCTACAGCGTTTCGGTGCCGCCGATTGAAGTCCGTCCGATTTCTGCATCTTTATGGCGGTCGTATATGAGCCGTGCCTTGCCCGCATTTCTGCTCATAAATCTTCCCAAGCCCCGTCCGGACGCATTTTTAGCCTAGCTCTGCCGCGAAGGGTGTCAGTCATTCCATATGTCTGGCAGCTCACTGTTCATTTTCACATCCTGTGCAAGCTCCTCCGTGATGGTCACCATTACGTGCGGACCATTATCGCCGAAGGGCCACTGAAGCCCACTGTATCGGCTGATGGGTATACAGGTGCGGTCTCGCCTAGCACGCGAAGTTTGCAAGGCTAGCTCACCAAAACACACGAACCGGACGGGGGCAACGGGTCACATGACCAAACTTGGGTGCGATAACTCCGCATTGAAAGTCGATTGTCGAACTTGGCCGATGAGCAGCACACGTTCTGGCCCATGTTGCCGAGCCCCGGTGCCCTGTTGTTGGCCGGTGGCCGTGGGTTTGTGACCCGGCGAAGTGACCCCATCTGACCGTGCGGAACGGAGGTTCCGGCCGGGCGGCAGAACCCGACCCGGCGGGCAGACTCGGGTCACACCGAGAACGACCGGGGGACATGCTGGCCGGGAGGGTCTGGTCTGGGCGGCAGGCCGGGAAGTGCCCGGTTCAATCCCGGCCGTATGAATATTTCAGTGATCCGCCCCAACTGGCGTAAACATGGAGTTCTTGTGAGCCCGACGGATTCGGGGGTCATTCACCCAACACCTACTTGTATGATTGAACAAACGCCGTGGATACGCCGTGGACTAGGCTGCAGAATGGCGTCAACTTCATAGCGTGTTTATCACACTGGTATCTTATCTCTCGGACTCGAGCCGTTATGTTTGCATTGCAAAACAAACCAAAAGTTTGCTGCGTCGGGGTGGCTATTTTTATCAATCTGCCCGACCAGTCAGGTAAAAAATCCAAAGCTTTGAGAGATTCTTGAGCTTCTGTTATCGGTATCACGAATAAGAAAAGGTTACAGGCACGCCCAGGCAGAACTTATCATTGTCATAATTGAATCGCCGTTCGATTATAAAAAGTAGGTGTGTTCTCAAGTGTTTCTATATATGCGGCCAAATGACGTCATGAGCTGGCCGAGACAGATTTTGTTCCGAACCTGAAGTGTCACAATACAACATGCCATAAGTCATTGAGCTTTAATTTACCGCGCAAACGACCGTAGAAGTTGAACTGCGCTCAAACGTAATTGACTTTACGCATAATTTCTCTGCTATAACCTAGTTTTGATTTGTTTTGCTTTTGATTTGACTAAACCTGCATAGATCTGTGATGAAAACATGATGCAAATACCGGAGGCCTGGAGCTCCGTTCCTTCGAAAAGTAAGATTCCACGATGAGCTGACCACGTACAGCAGCACACTCGTGATATCGAAAGGGGCCCAAATAGTCAGGAATCCGGTTGGCTCACGAAAGGGCTCTCGATGCTCTGAAGATGCCAGACATTGCAACGGGGAGACTGCACGTGTTTAGGAACGTTAGGCACGCCGAAAGCTGGATGAACTAGTCCACGGATTAGAAGTGACATAAGACAGCGGTTATTGCGTTACTGTCAGTGGCGAGACCGGCTGAACCACGAACCACCAGCTAAACAACCCGTGGGCCGACGGGTACCGGTATGCGTAATTTCACGGGTGGGAGGGGAGAAGACAACTGAAAATAATACTAAAGAAACGCTGAAGAGTCCACGTTGTAGTGCCGCAGGTGCTCATTTCTCGTACGGCACAACAATATCCCATTTGCCATCATCTTTGATCTACGTGCCTATTTCTGTTTAGCATAATTACTATTATCTGCTATTAGCGTCGACATTTATTCACACGGCTGTCCACTATCGGAGAGGCGGGCACCCCAGCGCCTCCCTTGAACACGCCGCTGTGCGCCAGAGCTGGGACGCACCAGCCCCACCACAGCGATCACGAACGCCCGCGCGGCCGACCAGACCAGCCCGTCGAGCGCCGTGGCCGGGACCGGGCGGGCATGCCCGCTCACGAGTCGGCCTGGCTCGGGGCCGGAATGCCACATCACGGGTCACCCTGAGCCAGGGGCCGGCGCTCGTGTCTGGCCCCGGTGCCGCCGCCACTGAAAGGCTGCAAGCGGCTGGCATGCAGGGGCGCGGGGGATGGCAGGTCAGGGCCGCGGACTGGCTGTTGATCTCGTGGTCTGATTTGGCTGGCTCGAGCCGTTATGATGAGATCTCTCTCTGCGGTAGGGAAGGCATTGTCTCGGAACCACCGCAGTATAGATGTCTTGTAGGTGAGCACTTGCCAATTTTTTAATTGGGTGACTGGGTACTGTATAATGACTACATCTTTTGTTTCTTTACATGTGACGTATGGATTAATGGCCACTGCAACGGTTGATTACCCTAGGACGTCAATTCATAAATACAAGCTCAGGCACAAATACTACATTCCATCTTTGTTCTGCTTTTGTAGGCCGCTCCCACAGTGTCTAACGTTGCAAGAATAAGGAACTCGGTTAAGACATTTAATGAAACTCCTTCTATGCAGAAAATGTGAAGTATCTTTGGGAATTCAAATTTTACAAACGGTTTTCGCACAGCATTTGCCACGCTTGGCTTACGTGTCAACGAAATAACTTAACAGTAGCATAACATTATGCTATTTTTAGCTGATGTCTGTCATAATGGGTGAATTCGCAAAAGTCGCTTGCCACTAACGGGATGAGATCTTTGGTAAATACATTCGATTGACGTCTCTGAACTGCGCCATTGGCGACTGTCTACTTCCAAGTCATGTCATGCTCACTTGCAAGGTTTGACTTCGCTCATTACTCAGACCAGCTCACGGTCTGAATAATCATGAGATACCAGCCCAATAAGGCATGAAAAATAATCCAGCCATAACCCCGAGTCATGTGACAAGAATCCGCGTCCTACCCCGTCCACCATGATGCTGAAAATGCAGCACGTGATCACGTTTCAAAGTTCCAACACAATGGCGGTCTGCAATGTAAGGCAAACACGACGTAGGTCTCGTGCGTTCTAACCTGCATCAAACTATGTTATGTACATCTGTCTCGAACCCGCCGGTTTCTTATCAGTTTCAGGTTCAGGGCTGTTTTCCCCTTTTATTTTAGATGCATCTAATCTAATTTTAGAAGATCTAAAATCATCATAACATGGTATAATTATAACTAATAATGATATCAAAATCAATTCATTGTTATTAGCATGTGGAAGCCACACATCATGTTTGCAGTTACAATAATGGGCACAACTTCTTGATCTTTTGAAGAAATCCCGCGAGGAATGCATGCAGCGCGGAACATTGGGTTTGCCGACCTAGTTGTGCAACAATCGCTGCACAAAAAACTAGTGTTTAAGCCTGTCTGTTTTAATTTGGTTTTGTATTAACACCAATCGACATGAACAAAAGATCATCGACATAACGCGACTTAAACGACGACTTTGCAACTGATGATAATTAGCTGCAAACCCTATCGTTGCCAACTAATTTTACTCCACCAGCACGACTTGTGATGAATGACAGGCACGTAAGGTCGATCGAAACGCTTACTTCACTCAGACATTGTGCCGGAATCCTGGTTTCAATGGCACGGTGGCAGCCGCCGACGGAGTGAGCCGAAGGCGCCCGGCCACCCGCCGCCGGGCGGTCAGCTCATGGTGCGCCGCCGCTAGTGATCTGCTTCATAGTGCGCCGCCGTCCGTGATCTGCTAGTGTTGCATTTGTGACCGATCCGGAGAATATTCCATCCTTTTTCGGTCAGTCGA